TCGTCCCAATCCCCATCGGGGATAAAATTTGCCCTCCATCCCCGATCTCCGACATGAATGAGTTTCTCATGTGGATCCAAATCCCCGAAATATTTTCAGATAACAGTATTTTTTAAACTAAATTTACTTAAAATAAATAAAAAATATAAATTATAAATAATATTATAAATATATTTTGATATAATAATATATTTAATATAAATAACAATTAATATATATATATATATATAATCGGGGTCGGGGCAGAGCAGGGACCTCAATCCCCATCTCCAACCAGGGATTTCTATTAATTCTCATCCCCATCCCCGCCCCACTAAAATAATCCCCAACCCGAACCCATCTGGTCGAAGTAATCAGATCCCCGTTGGAGATAAAAAAATTGCCATCCCTAGTTCAAACTCCCAAAAGGGGAAGGAGATGTTGCATTGTAAAATGCGTCACAAGACAGAATCATGTGCAGAATTAACAACTTTTGAAGTTTTATAAGCGAACTTTTGCTAAGGAAATATTGAATAAAGATGCCAGCATTCAGCATTAGCATATATACGATTCAGGTTCTTCTGCACTAAATCACGTAACCAAGCATGGTGGTCGAACCATCTCTTTTTTTTTATTAATTTCCCTGCAGCATACATTACGTACTACAGAGCTGCCCATGATCCGGTCTGTCCAATGCGACCCTACTACACAGTGCCTAGTTTTTTTGGGTATACTACACTTTGCCTATCTACGGCTTCATATTCCCACACAAACCAAAGAAAATCCCAACATTTTATAATTTACTCATTAGGATATTTTGAGAAGAGAGGAGCAAGAGATATGGTAGATTTATTATAACGCTGGTCAGATATAATCGGGTCTTAGATCAGACCCACTAAGCCCTTTTAAGTTTTAATTATAGAGCTGGTCCGGGTCTGGTTCCTGTAGCGTTGGGTAGGAGTGTAATCAATTTGAGCAAAGTCGAACTTTTGTATATTTTGGCTCAAATCAATTAAAATATTATTAAACTTATAGTTTGTTTTTGAATTTGATTCTAATTTTATTTTTTGGTTTGAGCTCGGTTGTTGAATTTGAGTTTGGCTGGAAAGCTTGAAAATGAATATCATCATCATCTATGCCTTATCCCAATTATATGGGATTGACTACATGAATCATGCTTTTCCATTCTATTTTATTCCTCTAATAAATATTTTTTTAGTACTTCTATTCATGTTGTTTTTGGTCTATCTTAAGCTCTTCATCATCTTTCTCTCTCTCTCATTTTATCACTTATTAAATTTATTCCTAATTTTTCAAATAACTTCATTCCTAATCATGTCCTTTCTAGAATACAAAAGTATATTTTCATAATATATATTATAAAATATATTTTTATATTTTATAATTTATATGCATATATGTCTCAATCTATTTGTTAATCGAGCCAAACGTTTAAGCCGAACATTTTATTAGTCAAGTTCGAATTGGAAATAATCAATTGGACTTACGTGGTGTTTGAAGAGGTTTGAAATCTGAAAACATATTGAAAGAAAAAACAAACTTGTCCGTTTACCAGTTAAGTGTTTTATTTTTTTATTATTTAGTTTCTCTAGAAGGTGAAGTTTTCTTTTCATTATTTTGTTTCTCTATCAGGGGATAGACTCAGGACTCAAAAGAAGAACCGTCAATAATAATATTGTCTTTCCCCCCGCTTCCTTGAGACATTTTGTTTAATTTCTCACTTATGAGTTATGACAAAACTTCATTGCTCGGATCGACCGTACGTGCTCCTGCCTTTGTTGAACGAATCCGAGTCCACAAGGATGTGCGCCCAGTTTTCCCCGCTCTATCTTCCTTCCTAAACAATTCACAATTGCCTTACTGATATGGTGAAAAGAGTTACTTGATACAAACAGATACGAAAGAAAGGGAGACTAGCTAGTAATACAGAGACCGAGAAGACGAGAACAGAAAATTCTGGGGATGCAACGATGGACAAAAGTTACTGTGGCGGCATTACCTGTCGCAGTTCTTGGAGTGCTTCTGATTGTGTTCCTTCGGCGATGGTGCTCCTCGTCCTCGAAAGGACGACATACTGGTATTACAGAAGCAACCGAGGCCAGAACTGGGATTGCAAAGCTTCACCTAGCCCATGATGGGAACAACCCCAACCACCTTCCTATTTTTCATCATCTTCATCTTCATCATGAGCTAGATACCAAGAGAAGGGCGAATAATTATGTGTTTCGACGTGGGGTGGTGCTGACGAAATCACTATTCAGTTGGGCCGATCATCCTTGGCTTGTCGCCGAGGCGGTAGAGTATGGATGGTCTAGGTTTGCTTTCATGGTGGGCAGCCTATCATCTCCTTCGACTAAATCGGCACTGTTGAGTTTATGCGCAGCTGGCGATCAAGTAAGAGAAAGAGATGCAGACATAAGCTGGGAGATTTTCCCAGAGTCGGTTGATTTCATGCAGAAGATAAGGTTCAATTCTGGACTAAAGAAAATCAACATGGGTACTGCTCCTTTAGCTGCAGCTTCATCTGTCATTAGGTCTGCTTTGCCCTTGCCAGGCCCTCCCTTGAGCAGTTGCTCTTTTCCTCAGGAAGCCTATTTCGAAATTACAATCTTGTCTATCATGGATGAAGACAAGGAGAGCCCCTGTGAAGGAGAGCGCTCTAAGCTGCTCATTCAAGAGACGGCTGACGAGAAGGTGCTGTCCGATTCCTTAATCCATGTTGCCAGCGGCAATAGAAATACTGAGTTGCAAGAACTGAAGCTTAAGATTAAAGAAGATGAAAGGAGGAGTACTATAGCCGTTATGTTGTCTGTAGGTCTGACCGCAGGAGGCGCCCTTCCGTCCAAGCTCCCAGGAAGCTATCCTGGGTCCATCGGATTCAACTCCAGCGGTTCTGTTTACCTTGATGGTAGGTCTTTATCTTTGAAGTTAATCAAGTTATCATTTATCAATCGCTGTGAACGATGAATTTGGTAGGTTACGTGGGTCTGAATTGAAATTTAGCTTTGCTACACATAATCATGTACAGACCGGCTAATTAATATCTTTGTGTTGCCCTTGCCCCGTCAACCAGGAATCAAGCTGGTGTATGAGACGACGACAGAGAAGACAGATTGGGGATTAACAAACAAAGTGATTGGTTGTGGATTTGATCCTGGTCAAAAGAAGGTATTCTTTACAGTGGATTCGGAATTGGTGCACCTGATCAATTGCAAAGCTGAGGAGTTCGCAAGCCCGCTTTACCCAACTTTAGCTGCAAATATGGACGTCACGGTTTTCGTAAATTTTGGACAGAGTGCCTTCAAGTATGCACCTGCAAATGCCCAACGCACTCCCAACCCTTGTTTCATTGGCTCCCTAGTCCAAGCTCCTGCCGCTGCTATGGGTTACGAAGATAGCCGAGAGCTTCCACTGGTTGAACCGAAGCACCACGAAGAACAAAAACGGCGGCGATAGCATTGCAGACGAGGAATCTGAAACTGATCTATTTGAAATAGTCTTGGATAATTACAGCAGGTCCCCAAGAACAGCGGTGAAAGTAGGAATGTGACGCTGGGATCACAGGTGACCGTGACCCACCCAAGACTGCTCAGCTTTATGCCAAGATTTGGGGGGAGGGGGGCCTTGTGCTTATGCAAGTCACGCGATTTGGCCATCGCCACCATTTTCAGTTCACAAGACTTTTTTTTTTTTTTGACATCAAAGAGGTAAATTCTTTGGTTCTTGGCCCTGCATATACATCAGTTCTGTTGATAGTTTCGAGCTGAGTTCATGTACAGTGACCATACTCATTATCATCAAGAAAATGAAATTGCAATTTAAGATCAAGAGCGATTATATACAGTAAGATTGGGTTACCTGTGACCAGACTGACCTCTAACTCTAATTGCTAATCCTCAAACATACAGGAAAAAAAACTAGGAGACAATAAAGACAGCTTCAGTCTGAAAGCTGTTTCACTATTTGTTTCAACTCATGTTTCCCCCAAGTTAAACCCCAGTTTTTCTATTCTCTCATTTTTCTCTCTGGCCTCAGAGTCAGACCGACCTTAAACAATCACAGAAGACAGAACAGAACCGAGGCGTAGCATATATAGCCGAACCGCTGAAACAGTAGTCTCGCACCATCCTTGGCTTCATCGAGGTAACGGATCTAAGGCGCAACACAAGACGGAATAGTAGTTTTCTGGTGACTGATGCGAATAGGGAGCTCCTTTTTACACGACCAGATTAAAGCAAAAACACTACTTTGACTTCAGTTAAGAAACGATTTATTCCAAAGAAACAATGAAATCAGGAATCAAGATTTTGAATAAACTAACAAATACATTTTTTATTCTTCAGTTTTATTCATGTATCTTCTTTAGGTATACATGAAGGGAATCAAGGGTTGGGGGATTGAGCAGATAGCACATTAACTCCACTGAGGCACTGACCACCTTGCCATGGAGACAGAGAACCTGCAGTTTCACGGGTTTTGATCCCCCGCCTCCATCTTCGGAGCCAAGAGACCATCTCAGCTACTGGGTCATCCGAAATTCCATAATTGGCTTCATCACCTCAAATCGCCCTATTGTCTAAGGAAATGGGATCTTGTTCAATTGAGGGAAATCAGAGAAATTTGACGCAAACAGAAAAGTCATTGATTAAGTTCTATGTGATAAATAAGATGACAACGATGCAATCCATACACATCTAGGGGTTTCAAATGGACCGGATTTGGTCCAATCCGATCCAGATGGACCCGATCCAATCCAATGATACTTCATCCAAATTGATTATGATTTGGACGGGTCAAAACCAAAACCGGTCCATTGACATCCCTATACACATGCAAATAAATATCCCCCAATACAGATGCACCATTACTGTAGAGAAGATTCTACCCAAAAAAAATTGTAGAAAAGAGCATAATCTTTTTTTAATTTTTATTGTCACCACAACAGTCAGTACTACAGTAAGATATTGAGAAAAAACGCTTCTTATCTGCCAGATAAAAGGGAAAAAAAAACCTTCCTTTTCTAATAGGCTTCCACATAATTCATTGATGTTTACATACTAAAGAATAATAGCAACAAGAGATAACTATGTCTCCTCTTGTTATCTGCAACATCTATGCTGCCTTCTTTCTCAACCCCATCCGTGATTTTGCATACCTGGATTTCTTGTTAAGCAAAACCTATATACTGGATTCGGATCACCATAAAGAAGTGCAGATTACATTAACCTATAGAGCAATTCAAGGTGTTTCAAAAGGATACTCCAAACGCATGCCTTCACCATCTAATGATGAGTATAGAACAGTGCCTTGAAGGTGATTCAGGGCCGCAGTAGAAGATGCAACGTCCTGCACATTGCATAGCAAAAAACTTTAATAAATGATGGAAGCATCAGATGTTAGTGGGAAAAAGTGCTACTACGTCAATCTCTGAATCGTTGCCATGCAGTAACTAATTTTTTGATCAGGCCATGCAGTAACTAATAACTCGATTCATGTCAGAAAATGGTTGTTTTGATCATATAATTGACTCCTTGAGGTCCCTATTCATAGTACATTGTGGCCTTCCTTACAATGCCATCATGTACGAGGACCTCAAAACTAGTATTATACATGCCATTACATTACTACTGCAAATTCACTGTTGTAAGAATTTGTCAAGTGCACTTTATCATCATCATAGTTCACTGACTTGGAATTGACTTGGCTCAACCAATCTGGCAGTGGAGTCAACTCAGGCAACCATGCCACATTTAATATAATATATGATAAAATAAAGAATTTTAAAATATAAAAAAAAGGTGGTACAATAAGATAAAATTCATCTTTGCATAAATTACAATTTGAGTAATATTTCTTCAAGTTACTATTAATCAGATCTACCTAAAAATAAAAGTACCAAATATAAAATATGTCTGAAGTCTAATTCTAACACTGCATTCGAGATTCCATAACAAATTAATTCAAATTTAAATATAAAGCTCAACTAAGCATCTTATACTTGCTTGGAATGGAAGGTTCAAGAGGGGCAAACACTGCAAAAGCTTTTTGACTTACATGAGAGGTTGATAATCTCCTTATACAAGTTATCTGTGATAATTGCCATAGTTTTCAAGGCATGAAACAAGGCTAAGCGATAGGGGGCGCCTGGCCACCTAGGCAATGGGATTTTTTTTAACAAAAGCCATGAATCCAAGGATAATTCCCTAGGTTCCATAGAAAGCAGCAACCATCTTTCACTATTAATTGTCTATAATCTTCATAAAAAAATGTATAAGCTTCATTTGAAACAAAGAAATCAACATATTCATGAAAAAAATGGAAGAAACAAAAGAAATTTCAGAAAACAGAGGAGCTAAGCCTCTATTTTTGTCCTTGGAAAAGAAATGAAGAAGAAGAAAATCGATATGTATTGATTGGACAAATTTTTGAGTTATTCCATATTGGTTCAGGTTTTGAAGTCTTTGAGTTACCTTGGCATCACTCTACATGTCAAGTTACCTTGGCATTACCTGATTGTTATAGTTTGGTAGTATATCCTAGAGGTAGTCTCTATTTTATATGATAGTGTGTTGTTTTCGTATCATTTGGTGTAGCAATGGGACATACCATCACTGGGTTTTTTGGTTTTTCATTTGATTGATAGCATCATATTTGTGTTTTATTGGATTGTCGCAAAAATTGTTACAAGTATGTAAGTTCATGAAAACCAAATCATCCAAGCATGCATGCACTGGGCGATTTGGCTTATCCTTTGACATATAGCATGTACAGGTTCTTTTAGAGGCCACAAGAAAGTCTTATGATTATGCGAACTTATTGTTCCAAATGTTAGGCTACCTTGATATTTTGTGTTTTTGATCAATAGGTCACCTTGATATTTCTTGATATCCCTAGTAAGGTAGTGGATCCTAGAGGTAGTTTCCATTTTAGCATATGATAGTGTGTAGTTTATGTAATTTGTAACACTTAGGATAGCAATAACAAACATGCACTCACTGGGTAATTTAGTCTTCCACTTGATTGATAGAATGATTGTGTTATATTAGAGGGTTGCAAAGAAGTGTTGTGACCATGTTAACTAAACAAAACAAAATCACCTAACCATTATTGTAGGGTTACAAGAAAGTGTTGTGACCATGTGAACTCATCAAAACCAAATCACCTAGGCATGCATTCATTCAGTGATTTGGTTTTTCATTTGATTAATAGCATGCTTGTGCTTCATTGGAGGATTGCATAGAAGTGTAGTAGTCATGTGAACTCATTGTTCAACATGTTAGGCTACCTTGGCACTTCTAAATTGTCATAATAAGGTAGTAGACCCTAAAGACAATTTCGATTTTCACATATGTTAGAGAGTTGTTAGCGTGTCCTTTGGGGTAGCAACAATAAGATGCACTACACAGATAATTTAGTGTTTTGTTTGATTAATAGCATGTCTGTGTTGTATACTTTTATTAGAGGGTCGCAAGCAATTGTTCTGACCATGTGAACACATCGAAACCATCGCAAGCAATTGTTTTATTGGAAGGTCAAAAGAAAATGTTGTGACCATGCAAACACATTGCTCCACATGTTAAGCTATCTTTATATTTCCTGATTGTCAAAGTAAGGGACTGGACCCTAGAAGTATACTTTTCAAGGCGTCAAGGTGAGGCCAGGCAACAAAGGGGTGCCTAACCATGTATAAGCTTCATTTGAAACATAGAAAACAAACATATATTGATGAAAAAATGGGAGAAAGAAAAGAAGTTTAAAAGACAGAAGTGTTGATTCTCTATTTTTGTCCTAGGAAAAGAAGAAAAGAAAGGGTGAAATAAGAAGATGAAGATGATGAAAATAATCAATATGTGTTGATTGGATTTTTTTTTTTTTTAGCAAATGTTGATTGGATAAAATTTTGAGTTCTTCCATGCTTATCAGTTCAAGTTTTGAAGTATTTGAAGGTTCAAGGAGTATACATGTTGATTGGACCTTAACAAATGAGAAAAATATTAATAAAAAAAAATATTTGAACTTAAACTAAATAGTTTAGTTTAATAATGTCTATTTTATAATTATAATCTCAAAAGGTTAAGAATATAAAAGTATCCAAGAGCCCCATGTAAAAATATGTTGGTGATCAAGCAAGGCAACCCTCTAGAGTGCCTTATCACCTAGGCGCCATCTTCATAAGTATGATAATTGCAACAGTCAATTCACTTTTGGCTAACTTTGCAAGGCATCAATTTATGATTAATATTGTATCACTTCTAAAATATAATGGGCCGACTCTGATCTTGCCAAGCCAACTCCCATTCTGTGGTCCAAAGGGCACATAGCAACACATAGCAAAGAAGAATGTCTTAAAATCTTAAAAGAGCTTTGCAGCTCAGAACCTACCATGTGCACTAGAAAGATTTATGTGCATAGGAGAAAGAGAATGAGAATGAACTTGACAATCCACCTTAATTGTCACTGCTCAATTCAGATATGAATCCTCTCTCAAGAAGGTATTTGTAAAATAAAAGAGGGATCCAAATCCAGGATCCTAGTTGTGTGTTCTGTGGATACACTCTAGAGACAGCTGACCATCTCTTCATCCACTGCCCACTCTCTCAGAAAATTTAGCTGCATTTCATCATAGCAGTTAATCACTTCTGGGTACAGCCAGGATCCATATCAATCCTGCTTTCCTCATCAAGGATTAGGGGCCCAAGCAATAGAGAGAGAATTATGTGTGACATGATTCCTGCCACAGTTATATAGTCAATCTGGTCTGAGAGAAATAAGAAGATTTTCAAATGCCAAGGTTCTAAAGATGATGAAACTCTTTACAAGATTAATGGGAAGATTGCTTCATAGAGCTCTACTATCAAGGAGTTTTCTTCCCTGAATACCTTTTTTTATCAGTTTTCTTCTGTGAATGCCTTTATGCTCTTAAGAGAGAGGTTTGCATGATCTCTAATTGGTTGTGTTTCTCTCTGTTCTATCTTGCTGCCAGTTTACCTCCCCATGCTCTTTGTATGTGCAGGGATGGAGGTTATACCATATTTTTAAGTACTAAATTTTTACCTTGCCTTGTTAAAATAAAATAAATAAATAAGAGAATCTCATCATTTGGATCTCACATCTCATATCTAAGTCCACACAATGTTCATTCCAGAGAATATGATGGAAAAAAGTAGGACAATAAAAAATGGCAGGCTTGAATCCTCACAATTTGGTTTGTCCAAACCCCCGGCATACTTTTTTTTTTCAGAACGCAAACTTCAAATGGAACAAAAAGCAATGTCTACAATTTTCTTGGATTTACTTTAGATATCCCATGCCTCCAAAAACTGATTCCAAGAGAGTGAAAAATGCATATGAAGGTTTGCCCCATTTAAATTTCTTCCTTTTTCCACTTGAAACAAAACAAGTGAAACTCAGACAAGTCATAAAAACCAATTCCCAATCACAAAAATAGTTTGATCCTGAATTTGACTTTAGGGAACCGTATGCATTTAGAGTCAACAGTATGACATGATGACTCAAGCTCAGGAATCAACTAAACTCAGATGAGTCTCCAATTCAAATATCAAGTTGGAAAGCTATCACCGTGATACTAAAAATTATGAACCACTAGTTACCAGTCAAATGTATGTGCCTACAAAAAAGAAAAAAAGCTACACCATGTCCATGTAAACTTTTGGAGGTAAACACATCTGACAATTATAATCCATTAGGTCTTTGACGTGGTTAGAATGCTAGAATATTAGAAACTTGATGTAATCTGGAATTCTTTTATCCATTTTGAAATGTATCAAATACCAATTCAAATTCATGGGACTCCAGTCCAACCTACTACTAGAAACTAGCTACTCTTCTACCCTCAGGTTCCAACCATCATCATCATCATCACCCATACCTTATCCCAACTGTATGGGGTCGGCTACATGAATACTCTTTTGCCAATCCATTCTATTTAAAACCATATCCAACCATAATACCTATATATCTCCAATTCTGTGTGGATTGGAATTGAATGGAATGTTGGACTTTGATCAATAACCATAAAGAGCTACTATTAATGGGTGAAATCAGAAGAAACAAGAGTAGAAAAGACGCAGAAAAAAAGAACAAACTCTCTGGCTAATAACAGCATCAGCCTCTCATAAACATCAGAAGGGAAAAAATTCTAGTTTCATATATAGCCACAATATGATATTAAGCACTCTACATACCCCCCCCCCCGGTTCTGTAATTAGGGAGTCAGCTAGCTCACTAGCAGATCCTCTTGATCCAGTGGAACAATATGTTCCTTCTAACAGCCAATGATCTAGCCTTTCCAATACAATGGTGGTGCACACAAAGCCCAATTATCTCAACTCTCAACCAGCCTATATCTGGAATTTTGGTTTCTTCGCATTTGAATGACACGCTTTCAATCTTTGCTTAAGAAAAACTAGATAACAAAGTGGAAGCAAGAGAAGGTTTCTAAATCCATGGAAGGCTGTCATGATGGGACTTGATGAAAATGTATATCAAGGTCTACCTTACCATCTTAGATAGATGAACCGTTGAAGCTAAAACTATTTAGGTGCAAATTCCAAATCCAAAAGAAGTAAAATGAAGACTCTAATAGAACGTACCCCAAAAATGATAGACCTATAACATGCTTGATGTCATATGTCATATGTGCATATTATACATCTATTAGTTTACATAAAAGGTAGAGCCCCACTACTCACTTTCTCGACTACTGAACTTTTCCACCGAAAATTCTTGCATTTTATCTTATTTCTTTTTGTGTCCCCACTCTATTTCTCTCTGCCATTAAAATCTTTACATGTCCAATCAAACTCCCACAGTTGCACATGTCTTGTGGCTAGACTTAATCTTAAACCTTTTTGGATAGGATAACTTTATTAGTCAGGTTACTAATGGTGGCAGTGGGATTGGATCCTTACAGGGTCCAATTCCCCATACTTTACCAACTGGCACATCCACACTTACAGCTCCTCTGAGGTTTCTGACAACCATTGTCACTTTTCTGAGACTGACCTCCCGTGTCAGCTAACATGGCAAGAAATAAATCAAACCCCCCATTGCTCTCCCTATTACTTGCTCTTCACATGTTATTACAGTGACCCGAAATTTTCAAAAACCTATGTTCCATAATCCATTACCTTGTATAAAAGGGAGAGTTCATTACCTCCTTTCGTCAATTCCCGAACTTCTTTCTCCAGCTTAAAGTCATGGAAATTTATCTTGTTCCCTTTGTTTCATCACTCTCTCCTATCTCTCCACCCATAAAAAACTCTACATGTCCAACCCATCTCTCTGTCGCTCTAGCAGATTGCATGTAACACATGTCTGTGTGGGGGGACTGGAGAGAGAAATCAAATTAGACTACTCAAGCACTCAATTTTCAAGGCTGACAATTCTTTTTCCAACAAGGCTTGTTTTTTATTGGATCCAATGAGACTTGGGTTAAAGACCTTTATGCAATTCATAAAGAAAAGTGCAATAGTAATTTTTTTCTCTAATACATCAGCAAGAAGTGTCATAAAATGGCAGAGGAAGAACAGAAGTGAACGTTCCTTCTAAATTAATTCCAAGAAACTAGTTTATCCATTGCCTAGTGAAAGAAAGAAAAAATATACACCATTTGCTAAAAAATCAGATTTGTCATTTCTTGGGTCCATAGAACATTAAAGAAAGATTACTAGTGACTTTTTACATGGTACCATAATTATTGGTATTCCCTGCAACAGACATAAAGGAACATTTAAAGTGCCAAATGGTATCAAAGCAAATAGGACCTTGGGTTGAAGCTTTTATGTGAGAAAGCAGTGATATCAAAGCACTATGCTGTTTTTACAATTAACCAGGTAGCTCAAAACCTAATAAATAAAAAAGAGCAAAATTCTATTGCATGTAGAGAGAAGTTGTCTAGGATCCACAAGGCAGTTGCAAAAGAAGCTAATAAACAGCTTTGACAAAGGTAGAATATCTCTCAAAAAATACAATAAAACTTGGGAAATTAACATGCTTAAGCAACTTAACAAAATTTCAAAATTACTTGTGAAAACTAATTAGTTAAGCTCCCAGAAGTGGGAGAGGAAGAAAGGGTAGAGGGAGAGAGAAGGGATACCTGAAAATCAACAAATGCAACAGGAGCTCCATATTTGTTTTGCATCTTCAATTTCAAAAATCCTGGACATCTATTTAGAAAATCCAACAACATCTAAAAGGTTATACCTACAAAGCTTACAAATTTGAATGTTCATTAAAATTAAAATAAAGTATTCAAACCTTGAAAATACTTGATTTAGTTCTTGTTCTGAACAAGCTGCCCCCAAATTAGCCACAAAAAGTGTTGGACATGGAGCAGTATTTTGTGGAATGTGAGGAACTGAGGCATTATTCTGCCAAATGTAGGAAAGCTCCTTAAAAATGCATGAGTAGGCAAAGTAAATCTGATGTGCATGTTATGTCAAGTTGCAAATTGCCATTAAGAAGTGAAGAGATGCATAAAAAGTGAATCACTAAAACTCCAATAAAATGTCAAAACTCAATTAAAATTTTGTGATCAATCATAGATCACAGAAATATTAGATATAGTAACCATTGAAAAGTTTGTAGATATAAGTGCCAATATTTAATTCTTTGAAAACAGATTGCACCAAGCATACAAATGAAGGTTGGTGGAAGCAAATGTGAAGAATTGTAGAACAATTTAATTATATTTCTTTTTGTGTCTTAACTGTAAAGTCATAAGATATATATATATATAGGAGAGAGAGAGAGAGAGAGAGAGCATTTCCGACATCACTTCCCATGCATCTTCACCATGAAAATCAAACTGCCTTGCATATTGCCTCAGATTAGTGTTTCACAAAATGACAAAGCACATTGAGATAGATTACCACTTTGTCCATAAAAGTTGCAGAGCAGATACTCCATTTGCTAAGTTAGACAAACCAACTTGCAGATTTGTTCACCAAGGCATTGAGCAGATTTCAAATTGGTGTTACTGTTTCCAAGTTGGGTCTATATACACCAACTTGGGGGGGATATTAAGCATAAAAATTAGTTTCACTCTATGGTTACTGCTGTTTTGTTGCTAGTTGTTTACAGGATACAGTAGTCCATCATATTTTATTACGCAAGGGAAGTATGGAAAGTTCTGTTTTATTACTTATGTGGGGCATTATTGAAATGTTATTTTCACTTAAGTAAATGATTTAAGTGCTCAAAATTTTAAAATGGATATGGCACTAAACAGAACGGAATGGTAAAACAGGATTCATGTAGTCAACCCCATATAGTTGGGACAAGGCTTAGTGCCCATTTTGGAGGACTTTAGTGTAGCAAGGTGGGCCCACCCGGACAGCCCATAAGCAATGTTTGGTGAAAATCCCCGAAAGCCCAAAATGGATATGTTACAGTCAAAAATACAGCCCTCCGCTGAAGCTTCTTTAATGGCTTATCCAAAGTAAGAAAATGGAGCTTAAAAAAAAAAACATGGTAAACTCCCATGTCCACTTTCTATCTTGCTTACCTCTTGCTGACACAATATGTGGACCTACTCCTGAAAATGAAAAAAACTAACACTTAAATAAAACTTTTCACTGTTTTCAAATTATGAAAATAGTTAGAACACATAAATTATGCAGGGTATCGCACTGGAAAACACCATCCAAGTCCTCCACGAACAAAATATGCTCCTAAAAAATCTAAGAACTTCAGTTCCATTTACTCAACATTTTTCAGTAGTATTTGTTATTTCTTCGTAATCTGTGTTTGAGTATCATGGTTCCTTTTACTCATGTTCATTATTTGTATTGAGGGTTTATGCCCAATGCTCACCCCCCCCCCCTTTGTACTTTAAAGTAAAGATCAATAAGAAATTTGGGTGAAGAATTAAAGACCAATATTATAGATACAGTGAAGTGGTGACTAGTCTTTAAAAAGGATACTTTCAAATTTTGGCCTCTCTAGTTAATAGGCATGGACTAGTTAATAGGCACGGACTAGTTAATAGTCTTTAAAAAGGATACAGTGAAGTGGTGAAGTAAAGATCAATAAGAAATTTTGCCCTCTCTAGTTAATAGGCACGGACTAGTCTTTAAAAAGGATACTTTCAAATTTAAGATACTGATGCAATCTCATAAATAAGTAAAGACTACAAGTATGTGATTAAAGGAATGATATTGAGCATTTAGCTTACACAGCCTTTTTTTGCAAAAATAAAAAAAGGTAGGACTTCGATAGGCTATGATAGAAAATTACAGCCTTGTTTTCCAAAGAAAGAATGCAACTTTGATTATATGATTTGACTTTCGTTTACAGCAATCTCTTAGCAGCACACCATCAATTGGAAGAAAACTTAAACTACTCCACTGTCTTCTTTTATTTTATACCCTTTTTTTCTATTTTATATACCATCATCCAAGCCAATCATGCTCCAGCACAAATATTTAAAACAACAGCATGAATATAATGAAATTCAAGCATATTACATATTATTTGAAATAATATGAGAAATAAACAGATAAATTAACACTTTGAAATGGTTGATTAGGTTGACTTGTCACTAATCGACTAGTTGACTTAGATGATGCTTAGTTGTCCTAGCAACTGCATCATTGAGTATTGACCAACTAATTAGTGTTGCAGGCAGTCTGACCCACAACTGACTAGCCAACACTTTAAGATAACTCAATGTGACCTCATCTGTTATCTATAATCACTTCCTGCATCATCCTTGAACATAGCCAGTACATTGACTCTACACTTGACAAGCCCACAATAATTTTTCCCTGTTTATTTCTTGCTTTGCTAGAGTATCAGCAAGGCCATTGACTAATCTTCACACCCATGAATAAGTGATATTCACCACTTAGGCTCAGTTTAGAAGGAGTACAAATACAAATATGTAGAGTGCAAAAACTTGTATTTTGTATTATTTTGTATGTATTTGTACTGTACATATTGCATTTGTACTCCACTACTCCTTCCAAACTCAGCCTTGGGCTCAGTTTGGAAGGAGTACAAATACAAATATGTACAATGCAAATACATAAAACATAGTACAAAATACAAGGTTTTGCAATGTACATATTTGTATTTGTACTCTTTCCAAACTGAGCCTTATGAAAAGTCTCTCTTTTTTCCATCTCTTTTTTGTTTTGATAAAAAGGGTCTTCATCCTGAAACAGTATTTCAGCCATATTAGTTCAGTTTCATACTTTCATGGTCACATTGGATATATAGGCTTTTATCACTTACCAAGGATCTTAGTTTTTTATCTTGTAATATTTTTCTCCCATTTTATCCCCCTTTCATCTTTTGAATATGGTTATTCTCATGGTTACCAGTTTTTTCCCTTTATGCATTATTGAATCAATTCCAACAAATAAAAAAATAATTGTTTCCATAAAGAAAGACTGAGTGAACTGCTTCAAACTGCTTTATTTTTTTTTCTTTTTGCTACTAACTATTTCCTTAATTTCTGTTATATCAAATTTTTACCCTTGTACAATTTTACATATTGGGATCACAATAGGACATCTTTTCATGATGCGCTTTTCAAAAATGTGAAAGCATGTGAATAATTTGAAATAAACAACATACTTGGAACTAAACTGTTAATAGGATGGCTGCAGACAAAAAAGCTTGGGGTTTGGACTTTGGACTTTTAGACAGCAAATGAGGGAGATCTTTTGCTTAGCAAGGGAAGCTGGAGTACTTTTCAAATGGACAAGGAGGTCAGCCAATGGCTTAGCTGATACTTTAGCAAAGCAGGAGACCCTTGGGGAGAATCTCTTTTGGGCTGTGTTGTAAACCTTGAAATAAAACATGGGGTCAATACTCCTGCTGTTAGTGGTTGACATTGTATTTTTAACTGTTGTTTTAATGAAAATTGCTGTTTCCAATCAAAGAAAACATACTTAGAAAATAAAAGAATGTGAATAACATAAAGTACAATTTAAGAACTTAATCTATAAGTAGTATAGTTTTCCCTAAGAAAAGCACATATAAGTGATATTCCTTTGCAAGCTGGATATGCATTGAGAGGTTAACCTCACCAATTTCATGGGATCCATATCATTGACAGCTCCACTATCAGAAGTTCCTTGACTGAAAACATGCAAATTAGTTGAATATCAGATGAAGCATAAACTATAGACTAGGAAGTAAGGATATGCATTAGCTTCTTTTCTAGGCCCCTGACCTTTCAGCTAGAATTTCAAAGAGGGCATATATAATGGTGGTACCTATGCTATGTGAAGAAGCTATAATTTCAAATAAAAAAAGTTGTGCTTAAGTAGTGCACACGACCTTTGTGTAGATGGATAACCAATCATGTTGTAAGAAGAACTACTCATTCCAGGCATGTGAATATTGCTGCCAACACCTGAGTGCCCAATCGTGCCAAACATGTGCAAAATGAGTCTTTAGAAGAATGTGTTCACGTGACTATGAAATTAATTTGGATTAATAGTAAGACACAAACACTTGCAACCAAGTCAGGTGAAATAAGTGAGTTCTAAAGGTTGGGAAAATAAGGCAAAGAAAACTTCAGGCGAAAATAAAAAGAATAAATAAATGTCAGGAAAAAAAAACACCAAGAGCAATAGTACCTCAATTTCTACACAGTTATGGGAGATTATCTTACCAAAATCAGAAGTTCCTCTTGAAGATGCAGTAGAACCTCTAACTTTCTTATCAAAAGAACCAGGTTGTCCATCATCTAGTTGTCACAAATGAACAAGGCATCAGAACATCTCCAATGAACAAATTTGGAATATGATCAATTATTGACAGAAGAGTTCCAACTTGATACAAAATTAGGGACCTGTTCTGGAGCGCTTAGACCTGGAATTAGATTTTGCAAGATCAATGTACACAGTTGAATTCTTCTCAAGATCAAACACCAGTCCCTGCAAATGTTTAGATTCAAGGGATTTCAACACAGGTAATGAAGAAAGAGAAAAGGGCTAGCGAAGACTAATGTTACATGGATGTGGTTTAGGAGTGTCAGAATCTGACACTGATTCAGGGTACCAGATTCAACAATGCCAGACTCAAAGGATATACTTTAGTTTGTTTTTTCTCAGTTAAATAGAATGGACTGGCAAAACAGAATTCATGTAGCTAACCCCATATTTGGATAAGGCTTCAATGATAGGTGATCACTGATGAGTAATCATTGATGAAAAAAGAGAAAATAAGTCAATGCAAGAAACACTACACAATCAAAATAATATTATCATTGACTATATTAAACTTATCAAGAATTACAATTCTGCCATCTATTCCCAAAATATTAGCCTAAAATCCCAGAATTTAAAGTCACACACCACTGGCTCATGAATGACAAGAGTCCCTGAAGTATGATTTCCATAACAGTGTTAAAACATGTCATCAGAAAATTCATTTGGGATTTCAATGAATCCATGTAACATTTTTTATTTTATCAGTAACAATAAACTTTATTAATGATATGAAACTATGTGAAGCTTAAGGTACAAAAGGGGAGGTAAAATGTCTCAACTCCCCACCAACAGAATACAATGGAAGAAAGTCAAAAGTTAGCCCAAAAAATAGATTCCCTATTCACCCCTTGCTTGGCTAACCCATCAGCAAATGAATTAACAGTCCTCTTCACCCAGCTGTAATGCCCCACAATATCCCTACTCAGCCATTTGAATTTTTTCTTCTCATTATTATAACTCCACAAACCGCTGTCTTCTTCTTTCAACAACTTAATCACCACTTCCGAATCACCTTCAAGGACCAAACATCTGATGTTCAACTCCCTTACTCTTTGGATACCTTCCAGGGCTGCAAGAATCTCAGCCCTAAGAGAGTCTCCTTCCCCAATTGGGCCTGAGAACATAGCAATGATAGCCCCACCCTCATTCCTGAACACTCCCCCAATCCCAGAAGGCCCTGGGTTCCTTAAGCAGCTACCATCAAAATTCAGTTTTATGAACCCAGAGGGAGGAGGGGACCAAGAAGGACTACAAGTCCTCTTACATAGGGCAGAGGAAGCTATCTCTTTTCAATTTCTTACCAAATCAGCCACAGAATAATCTGAGAACAGTTCCATAGTTTTCAGCAAATGTGCCACCCTTAATAGTATTAGATCTAATAAGTCTTCAAGGGTTTTTTCCTTGTCTGAAAATATCCGTAAATTTCTTTCTTCCCATAGGGTCCAACACACTGCTGCCCTAATGCTTCTCCAAATAATCTTCCCTCTCTTCTTCGGTCATCTAAAAAAAGAAGAAGAAAACAAGCTTTGGATGTTCCCAAGTAGAATCCAAACACATCCACAAAGGGAAAAAACCCACTCCCATACTGATTTAGCAACCGAACAAGTAACCATAAGATGGTAACCAGTTTCCCCATCAGTTTTACATAGAGTACACTTATTAGGAAGTAAACAAGAATTGGGTCTCTTTTTCTGAAGTATGTCATTTGTGTTAATTCTTTCCAGGAAAGTTTCCCAACAAAAACTACCAACCCGAGGAGGAATGGGCCTACTCCAAATTTCTTTAACTAGGAAAGACAACCCAATAGGATCAGAAGGCTGAGTTAGTGTCTCAAAAAACGAAGCACAAGAAAAAACACCTGATGAGGAAGGAACCCAAAATCTGGTATCCTCCTTATTAGGGTCCAAGAAAACATTTTCAAAGATGGCTAACAAAGACATGATGTGGCCCAAATCTTTATCCCTAGTTGCCCTTCTCAGACCTAAGTTCCACCCAAAACCAGAAGGAGAGTCTGAAGGGCTTAAGAAGGATGATATGGGTTCATTTTTCAACATATCCAGAAGCATAATTAAGAAATGAGTTAAATGGAAAAAACAAAGGAACCAGCATTTGGTTTGGACATCAGAATATAAACAAACAGCCACTGGCGAGTAAATTTTTTTGATAGTAAAATAATATAGCACATATCAACATAACAACATTTAGGCCTTTTTTATAGTAAGTTTGCATACTCATAGCTCTGACGGGAGAACATAAGAAAAAGAAAGTTCTCCATGCATCTACTCCAAAGTGTGGGAAATAGAGGCTGAATACAAATTGATCAACAAAATTAAGTAATTTGATTTAAAGATCAAAATGCAGAATTGCATATGATTTCCAAGAACTATAGACAAATACAAAGTGCTCTTACATTGAGGGCATGCATTGCTGCTAGTGCAGACTGTTGATCAGAGAAGACAGCAAAAGCAAATGCCTGTTAAAAAAGACCCAAGATGAGCACATTAGAGGACGTGTGAACGCAAAAAACGATACACTTCGACCAGAGGCACCGCAGAAGGAAAGAAATAGAGAAAGGTAAAGGGAGTATTCCAGTACCTGTGAGCTTTGGGTAGAGCTACGGAGCTGGGAAGATTGGTAACCAGGGAACTCGCGGAAGAGATTATAAATCTCTCGAGGCTTGACGTCTCCAGGGAGCCCTGCAATGAACAGGGTTCGGACCTCATCTTGTGAGTGTGGTTGTGGAGGAAGGCCCGGCGGATACGAAGCGAATGGGGGTTGCTGTTGGTGATGGAGGTGGTGGTATTGTTGAGGCAATGGAGGCGGTGCTGCTGGTGGGGCCGCCGGCGGTGGCGCCCCGAAAGGTGGTGGTGGCGGATAATAAGGGTAGTGAGGGTTGGGGAGTCCCGCCGGTGGAGGATAGTACGCAGTCATGTCGTCCATGGAAGATGGAATGTGAATTTTGGGGCGACACCAAGCCCTAGACCTGAGTTCTTTCTAGTTCTGAGAAAGCAAGCAAATGGTATTGCAAGCTAACCGGATTTGACGGCCTCCAGGCTCCCGCCAATCAGCCGATGTTACTATTGGTCTTATGGAGACTCCGGTGTGTCTGAGAACGAAAACGAGGGAGAAGAAACCTGAACTTCTCTTTCCAGCTTCTACCCTCGAGCCTCGAGGGGCCAGCTTAGATTTGCCGTGCCGGCCCGCAGGCCGTCAGGGGCCGTGCCGCTCTCCCCAGGATAATTTGGGATTGGCACGGCACGGCCCACGGCCCAGAAGGTAGAATTTCATCTATATTTAATATCTAATATAAAATATTTATATTGTAAATATTAATTTCTAATTTTAGAAGTATGAGTATAAATAATATTTAAATCATCCTGAATACATAAATTTAAGATGTAACATATACATTTGATATGAAACAGTTTATCATTTAAACATATTTCTAATTGAGATTTTAAAATGTTTATTGCTAAATCATTATTACTAACATTATCAAAACTAATAAAAAATAATTTATTGTCAATTTTATAAGTATGTAAAGTATTTAAAATACTTGCAACAATAGTTGGGCCAATATGTGGCTATTCAAGCCTAATAAAACTTAAAATTATTTTATTTAAAAGCAAATTTTCATCAATAAAATGGCCAATAAGACAAATATAACTTATGTTAAATTTAGAATTCCAAATATCAAAAGTAATTGCAACTTTAGAATTAAGATTTTATAAGATATAAATTAAATTTTGTTTATATGAATAAAAAAAAAATAAAGCATCTAATCTAATAGTATTCCTAAAAACTTTTTTAAATTGTGGGTTTATAGAATTATGTAATCATTTTTCAAGTTTAGTATCTTCAGCTAACATAAATGGTTGTTCAGCATGTACAATGTATTTTACTAATTCTTGTCTCTTTTTTTTTAGAATATTTAAAAATACCAACCCCCACCCAATTTGTGTTTATGTTGTTTCTCTCCCTTCTTCTTCTTCTTCTTCTTTCTCATGGGTGAGCAAATGTCTGTCCAAATGGCCAATACCACCTTCCTACAATAGCTAAAGTCATTCCTACATTTTTGGCAAACAACTCTTTTTCCCTTCCCCTGAACTTCATCTATTTTAAATATTTTCCAAACTGAGCTAATAAACTTAGTGGCCTTATTTTTCTTTCCCCTAGTATCAATACTAGGGGTGGAAGTTCCACCAATATCAATAGCATCCATATCGGTACTAATACTACCATGCTATGATTGAATATCGTCGACGTTGAACATGTTGGGGAATTGGTTTTGTGAGGAGCCAGCATTTTTTCAATTTAAAAAAATAAAAATTAATTTAATTGCACTTACTTGGATTACCGGTTCGGAATCTCAATTTAATTTCAACGATTAAAGCCTTTCAACTCCAAGAGTCCAAGCCTCCCAAATTGCTAACTTGAGAGTTGAGATAGTTAAGCAGTTGAGCAAGCCTTCTTGTTGAAATTTCAATAAAGTTGAGAATTAGAGAATCAGAGAATGTATGAGAAATTGAGAGATTGAGACTTGAGAGAGTATGTGAACTAAAGAAGGAATTAAGAGAATTGTTAAATTGGAAAATGGTGGAGGATAGGGTTATTTATAGGAATTAAAAATAATTAAATTGCCTAAAATACCCTAAAACTAGCCATTTTTTAGTTGTTGGGAGGGGTATTTTGGTTATTGTAAAATTATTTATCACTTTACCCAAAATGCCCCCCAAACTAGTTGTTATATAACTACTGGGGGCATTTATGTCATTCTTTCTCCCCCAAAACTAAAATACATAAATACCCCCTATATAGCTATTGAGGGTATTTTTGTAAAAAAAAAGGTCCAAAAGCTGAAACTAGCCATTGGGGATCCCCTGCGGCAATCGTGCCATGAGATACCAGCCCATGGACCTGAAACCGCAGGCCCAACATGACTTGGACCATTGCATCAGACCTAGCATGCCCCACATGCCATTGTGCCATGCCAGGCTACGAGTGACACATCCCGATTTACACCTCTAGACCAGATCACCCGATCCGACTTTCGACCCATGGATTCAATTGCAGTTGGGCATCGAGGTCATTCATAAATTTGTAAACACTTAGGCCCAAATCTTATACCTATCTTGGAGAATTTGTGAAGATGCCTTTTTTTTCAATTTTATTTTTTGCAGTATTATATATATTTTGGAAGCTAAAATAAAAAAAAAAAGTGTTTCATAGGCTTAGAGAGGGATATTAAAGGGTAGAGAACTTCTAAAAAAAGGAATTGGTTGGGAGATTAGCAATGGTAGATCAGTGAACTTCTTGGAAAGATGGATTGGAGAAAAGGTAATAACCAAATTGATGCCACAAGAAACTATTGTTAATGAGGAGCTCTTAATTAGTGATGTTATTGATCAAGAAAGGAAGGTGTGGAGGAGGGAGAAAATATGTAGTCTTGTTCAAAACAATGTTTGGTTGAAAATCAAGGCTACATTCATCCCATCAAACCAAAAAAGAAGATAAGTTGATTTGGTGGTTTAATTCTAATGGCAAGTTTTCTTCCAAATCTGCATACAGTTTGAAGTGTAACCATTTATCAAATCCCACGAGTGGTTACAATTGGAATAATATTGTTTGGAATCTCAAATGCTCTCCAAAACTACAAGTTTCATGTACCTTCTACTGAATATTAGACTTCCCACAAAGTCTCTTCCAAGATTTAGAGAGACTAATATTTGTGGGAAGAGGATGTGAATCATATTTTTAGAGGTTGCTCCTTGAAGAATTGTTGGTCGATTATTAATCTAGCTATCCAAGGTTTGGATGATTTGATGCATTGCATTTAGAAGGGGGTATATGCACCATTGCTATGTTAGCTAGGAACCATCTTGGTGAGGTGTTGGATTTCAAAGCCTATAAACTAGAGAATGGTTTAGCTGAATGCTTTGACTGTTTAGCGGGCTGTGAAACCATTGATAAGGTTCCACGCCAGTAATAAAATACATGGGGCTTGCACCTTTCACAATGAGGTCCATGAATTTATTACTGGCGTGGAACCTCATCATTGGTCCCACAACCAGTTGAACAACCAAAGCGTTCGGATAATCTGAATTCTAAAAACTGGACCTTGCTTCTATTAATAAAGCTGAAGTCTGGGCTGCTTGGGAAGCCCACAATTTGGCATTGAATTTCAAGAATTATCCTATCATTGTAGAAGGGGACTCTAAGATTATGATCTCATGCCTTAATCGTGTGATGCCTTGCCAATGGAACCTGTGAAACGTCATCCATGATTGCTGGGAGTTGAAGGAGAGGTACAAGAAGGGAATCATCTACAAACATGTCTACTGTGAGGCGAATCAGGCTGTAGATTGATTAGCCAACCATGCACATGAAGTCCAGACGTTAGTTCATGGTTTCGATTCTTTAAATCTTTGTAAGCTTCATTGGTTTTTTGCTTTTATTTGTTCCAGTGATTTGTGGGGATATGTTACTCCCATCGTGTGTAACCCCTTCTAGTCTTATAAAAATAAGAAAAAAAAAAAGAGAAAAAGATATCTTTTGAATTGATTGGATCTTGGACGAGGTTAAAAACATCAATATATCGGGCATCCATTCTTCCTTTTTTGGGTTCTATGTTAAAGCAAAGCCTTAAAGCTTGTTCCAGTAAACAGGACGGGGAAATTGCATGCTAGAGCCGTACCATAATTCCGATTAACATTGGTAAATTGCAGTAATGCCCCTAGATGACCATATATGATGCTCTATTCAAATCATAATAAGATTTGGCAAAGTGCCAACTGACTGGTTGTAGCGGAGGCTTGGGTTCCATCGAATCCCCACCAGTACCACAGTACCAGGGTTGAGAGGGATCATGGTTATGGATTGAGGATGGGGCGGAGATCACATTTCCTGCAACCCACATCGTACGTCAACCCCGAGACCCTCCAGTCATTTTTGAATACCAGTGCTTGATGAAAAAGATAAAATGTCACATCAAATTAGTGTTTGATTAAAGGGTTTTTAGCGGGCAAGGCAACTTTTTATCTTGAATATCAATAAAACATAATATTTTTATAAAATAAGGTAATTTTTTTTGAAAAATATCAAGGAAGGGCAATGGCTTCATCGTCTTCCTCTGCCTCTATGATTGTTTTTAATAGGTGGTTGAACAATACACGCTGCCAGGTGCAGAGCTAGTGTGTGATAAAGCGGTGACAAGCCAAGATGCGATGGCAAAGCTAGTGCGATACAAGTCAGAATGTGACGGCGATCAGAGTGATTCGGATGAATATAGAGGCCACCCATCCCTTCCTTCTCTTATCCGTGCAAAACATAAAATGGATTCACCAAGGCTTTAAATCCAGTGTATTCGGATGAATACAAAGGTAGAGGAAGACGATGAACAATTCCCCCTTCGTTCTTTGCTCTCTCGCACTCAATTATCTCCCTTTCCAACTGCTGAGCGATAGAAGAGCCTTTGCTTGAAAAGGTCGCTCTAAAGAATCTTCAACTTCATTTTACGTTGAAGGAATCCCGATTCTTGAATTCTCTATAGCCGACCGAACATTTGATGAAGTAGTTGAGCTCTGGTGATGGAGGCCGGAGTTCCCTCAAATTTTACTTACCTGACGGAGCTTTGGTGATCTGAGCATCGATGATTCATCTTTAGCTTCCAATGACTGCAACAGCGATCGGGTGAATTCCTGACCACCTCCGCGCATAGCTGTCGCCTCCTGCTGACTTGCGCTTTTGAGAATTCTGATGATCTGATTCATCAACTTGCCTCCAATCTCGAATTGGGCTTGCTAGACCTGCAGAAGCAGAAAGCCATGGAGCTTAGACTCCTCGCCAAGAACAAGTAGGAAAACCACCTCAAGATTGCTCGTGTTGGGGTTGTAAGACCTCTTATCTCTCTTATCTCCTCTTCCGATGCTCAACTTCAAGAGAACGGTGTCACCACGATTCTGAATCTCTCCTTATGCGACGAATACAAGGACCTAATTACCTCCTCGGGAGCAATTAAACCCCTAGTGAGAGCTCTCAAGACCAGAACAACAACTGCGAACGAGAACGCCACCCATGCCCTACTCCGACTCTTGCATGCACAGTGTATTCGGATGAATACAGAGGCAGAGGAAAAAGATTAATAGTGACATTACTCCTGGTATTTAAAAAAAAATTATTTTATTTTTATCATTTTATAAAAATATTATCTTTTATTGATATTCAGGGCAAAAAAGTTGCCCTTATCGGCTAGAAACCCTTGATTATTAAAACACTGACATGTTCAAAACTCACTCGCGGTCTCGGGGATTGTAATGTGATCTTACCATTGTGTAACCCCCTTTAAGCACAACAGTCAACAAAACATAAGAATTCATGGTTCGATTGGATAATTTGGATTAACTAAAGAAAATGCTAGAAAAAAAAATGGTTGAATTAAAACAGAATTTAGTATATTTGTACTTTTATTGTCAACAAACCAGCTATTAGCAATTTAGCATGGCAATTCCCATGCGAGTAGTCGACTACTGTCATTCCTTTTTTTTTTTTTTTTTTGGGGGGGGGGGGGGTAAAAACTGAAAAAAAAAACCGAAAAATATAATCATCAATCAAAAGAAAGTTAAAAAAACTCTCTCCTTCCAACTTCATGGGTTGGCTATCAAGTTGAAAAAAATTGGAGCCTTAAAGCTAGTTACGTGTCCATCAGAGAGCTTGGAAGGAGAAATATAACTCCAAATGACAAAAGAGTTTCAAGTCATAACATGCAAGGGTATACAAGGTTTTGATGTCCTACCTGTTAAATAGTGCAGCAGTTCTATAAGCAGTCAAAGACATTGGGATTTGATAGAATAAATCATCTTTCATGAAAGGGTTAACTGTTAGAGATCAACCATGGTAATCATGAGAGGCAGGAGTTTTTTTTCAGACCACAAGAGATAGAAGAGTTCACAAACCACAATAACAATGGGAGAACAGGAGATTTGGTCTCCCTTCTAAAATGAACACCAATTAAACCTTTTTCTTTACCCTAATGTCAATATAGTTTGTCCACTGAGCTTTTCATATACCCAAAAACAAAGCCTATAATGCAGCCTTCAGATACATTACACGCAACCGACAGAATGTAGATAATCTTTAATGAGCAAAAGTCAGCTGCAACGGCACTAGACAAGAGGTGGATACTGCTTTGCCTGTTGTCGGACCCTTCTCTTGTACTCAGCTGGTTCCTGCAAATATAACCAGAGTCGATTAGCGAAAGGAGTAGTTCTCTCACGTAGTTTTAACAGAAATTGAAGCAAGAGGAAAGAATTTTGAATTTGGTGTAAAATACCTGGATGAAGAGGTGATATCCATCTGTTTGGGCAGGATCAGCAGGATTTGGCTGGTCCAGCAAATCTTGTATGCCCACAAGAATTTGCTTCACTGTGATAGCTGGTCTCCACCCCTAGACACAATACATAAATGTGTCAGCAAATGACAAGTTGATTGCTTCCTACCATATAAATAAACAATGGTAAATATGTGAGACTTTGGTTACTTACACTGTCTTCGTTGAGAATTGATAGGCAAACAGTTCCAGAAGGGTAGACGTTAGGGTGAAAGAAACCTTGAGGGAACTTGCACTTTGGTGGTTTACTAGGGTAGTCTTCACTAAATTGAAGCGAAATTGGAAAGTAGCCACCTTCCCAGTCAGTCTGGCATTCAGTAAAGCAGTGTTGTTGATGCCACACAAAACCAAAGGAAAAAGGCATTTACAGATATAATTATGGAAGGAAAAAATAAATTGAATGAGGCATAGTAATAAATATATCCATTAAAAACGTGTATCCTCAAACATGTCTTATTATATATGCTTTCCATGAGAGAATACAAAAAGAGACCGCATTGTCTTCAGGTAAAAAAAAAATGAAAGAATGGGAACAACGTTCACCCACTAAGACAGATAAGAGAAAATGACACTTCAGGCAGATTTTAGCCAAATTTAGATATTTACCCAGGGAACCATCAAGCAACCCATTCCGTTCATTGAAGAAAAGAAATGGAAGAATGGTTCCAATATCTAACTCATTGAGCTAACAATGTAGTCAACAGGACTAAGTAAAAAATAACCCCTGTTTCGATTGGCCAAAAGATTTAAAAAAAAAAAAAGAAGCAAAAAAATCCTGAACCAGTAATGTTATTTAAGAGCGAACCAGCAAAGATACAACACAAACAGCCTCATGTGAAGATTGAAAAAAAAAATTACTGCATCTTGCATAATAACAACATTTTCTTGTTTACCCAACCACGATTTGGGCAAAAAAACAACTTTTTGGGTTACAACAGCTTACCTCAATGTTCAGAGAACTGTACCAGACATAGAACCAGAGAAGGGAGAGGTGGGTCAGAGGTTCAACCGAGGTCGAACCATGATGACATGGCATATGCATATACATACATACATATATATATACAAGTCATATAAATATTATATAATATATTTTACAACTTTTAATATACTTAAATATGGTGCTTAATTTTTAAAACAAATAAGGTTCAAGTCTCATAATTTACATTTTCTTTAAAATACATGCATAATAAAGTAACATGTATAATAAAGAATCATTAATTAACACAAGAGGTGGACTAATGGTAATTAAGCGATATATGAAAATAAGAGGCCATGGGTTCAAATCTTGTTAAACACATTTTAAAACTTCATTTGCTTAAAAGAAATTAAAAAAAGGTTAAAGACCTGGGGTGGTTTCATTAAACCGAGACCGATTCACCAGTTTTCTGGTTAAATGGATTGGTTAGTCGGTTTTCACTGTTTTTCTAACAAAAGCAGTTATTGGGGTAAGACCGAACCTAGGGCTGTCAATGGGTCGGGTCAGACACAATGGAACCGGACCAATTGGGGTGGTTCTGGTTCCAGAACCTGTCCCGATGGGTCTGTTCCGGTTCTTTAAAAAACTCGATTACTATTGGGTCGGAACCGGGTCCACCTTGTCCCAAACCGATATGAACCTGACCTGACCCAGCCCCTATATATATAAATATAAATATGTATATACACACACTGTATACATTATTATTGTTTTTTATCAGTTTCCTTTTCAGCAGTTTTTTTTTTTTAAGCAGGGTTTTCATTGTATTTTAGGTTTTTATAGGGGTTTTATTGCATTTTTAGCAAGGGCATTATTAGCACACATATCAAAATCAGGTCCATTGAGTTGGACCCGATTGTCCCAAGAACCAATTGGTTTGGTTCTGGGTCCAGAATTATAGACCCTATAGGGTCTGGGTCGGTTCCGGGTCCACGAGTTCTCCTATTGGTTCCAGGACTGGTTCTACTTGGTTCCGACCCGTTGACAGCCCTAACCAAACCAGCCCAAGGGCCCGGGTTACGACTCAACCAGTCCAACTGGCCAGCCCGATCCGGTTTCCTAAACATTGGCTTACCTTGCTCCAACAAGTGGAACCTTCATATTTGAAACAAATTTATCAGTAGAACTGCTTTCTCTAGTGCCACCGATATATTTATATAGATTTTTATTTACAACCAAGGCTAAAAAAATAACACGTATTGGCCCGTATCGGCTGATACGTATTGTATCAGAAGCTTCCTGATACGCCACTACAGAGGGTGTATCAAGGTTTTGACCGGTTCAGGGGGTGGACGGACCTTAACTCGGCCCCTCTGAACCGGATTTGAAAAAAAAAAAAACTAATCGGCATATCGGGCGTATCGATATTTTGAACCTTGTTTACAACTATGTTAAAGCTTAAAGCAAACAAAAAAACATATGATGCATGCTGACTAGACCTGTTCAAGGGCCGGCCTGGCCCCTGGACGGGCTTGAACAAGTATATGGGCCCGTGGGCTTAACCTCGGGCCAAAAAGCCCGGCCCGCAATAAATTCAAGCCGGGCTGGGGATTTGCCAAAATAGCCCGGCCCGACCTATAAATAAACCTAAAAACCCTAGTCGAATACCCCTCTTTTTTTCACCTCTTTCCCTTATTTTTCCAACTGAACCCTTCTTCTCCACATCCTTTTTCCCTTCTTTATATTCTTTTTTTAATGTAAATAAAATTTGAATTTATATTCTTTTTTTAATGTAAATAAATTCTAATTTATATTGATTATTGAATAGGGAAAAATTCTAATTTTTTTTATTAGGTCGAGCTTCGGGCTCGGGCTCGGGCTTCGGGCTTTTTATCAGGGCCGGGCTCGGGCCCAAGTTGTAGGCCCATTGGTCGGATCGGGCTCGGGCCTAACATATTTTCATTAATGAAGAGTAAAAGCCTGGCCCGGCCCGGCCCATGAACAGGTCTAATGCTGACCAGGCACAACTTAGACATGGGGCTCAAATTGCTATTTCATCAACATACAAAAGTTAATCAAGAGAGGATCCTCAGTCATGCAAGTGTAGATTGGACCCAAAAGTCGGTAACTCAAGCAGTTAGACAAAGGCCCTATTTGATGATTAAGTACTTGTTAAAAGAAGTACTTGCTACTATTTTAACAACGCAAGTACTTCTTAGAAGTACTTATTTTAACAACCACTTAAGGCTGTTTGGTAACCCACTTTTCAAGTCACTTATTATGTTTTTAAGCACTTATTGGGGTGGGGATGTTTGGTAAGCTACTTTCCCCATAAGTGCCTATATTGATGCAAATGACAATTTTACCCTCCACTGTAGATTACTCAGATCTCTCCCTCTCCCTCTCATTTTCTTCACTGGAACTGTCGGAACCGCCAGAACTGTAGATTGGACAACAGAAAGACTCCTCCAATTAACAACCTTCACAAAATTCTTGGATTCCCATTTCTGCCTCCCGAGTCTCTCTTGACTCCCTTTCCTTCTTCCGTTGTCTTCTAGCTTTATCCCCAGCTAGTCTGTTTGATATCTTAGCATCTGGTTTGCCTCCAACTTCATGCCTGGGAGGATTCCGTTGCTTCCAACTGATACCTTACAAGGTCCAACTCCCGGTGCTCAAACCCAGAACCATGGATTTTGTTGTCATTCAACCAGAATCATTTTCGTATTTTAGAGGAAAATGGAGGATTTTGTTGTCTCCGGTTGATATCTTACAAGTCTCGGTGCTCAAACCCAAGACCATGGAAGCTTTAGTAGAGAAAATCTTAAAAAAAAAAAAAAAATGTTGTTTTTGTGAGCAATCAAAGAATTTTGATAAGGGTTTTGTAGAGGACCATGAATCCGACCTGCCCATTTCCCCATTTTTTAATGTTGGTATTGGAGCCCCTTCCTACAGCCGTTCTTACATGTATTGTAAGAACCTCCACCGCTTTTCCCTTCCTATACTGAGAATGGGGTTGGTTGTTGTCGTACCTCCTCTCATCTGAAAATGAGCATTTTCAGGGTAATTCTCTCACAATCTCTCAGTTTCTTTCCCATAAATTGTAGCTTCAGATTTTCTTTATTTACTTTTTTCTTTTTTTTTTTTTTTTTGCAGTTGGGTTGAAGGAAATTTTCTGGTTTCAATAGTGTTTTGAATTTTTCAGCTTTTGTGTTAGTGTTGATCTGTTCACTGCTTACAGGACCTATAAGAATGGCTGTAGGAAGAGAAAAGCGGTGGTCCTGTAAGAACGACTGTATTAACTATACACCCAACTCCGCCGGCTGGCTTTTGCTCACCGTGGAATGTTGCCGGTGGACCTGCAACCAAACACCACCGCTGCCTGTTGTTGTAGGGTTTCGAATGGAAGATGATAAACTCGAGTGGGGGTAGTTTTGTCATTAAAGAAAAAAACAGGGACAGGCTTGTCCCGTTCAAATGAAGCACTTCTTCAAAAAGTGCTGAAAAAAAAGCCACATCCATGTCACTTTTTTAAAAAGTACTTTTTTAATAATAAGTACTTCTTACCCTCTTTTTTACAAAACACCCATAAGTACTTAAAAACCACTTAATGTGTGGTCCCATGTGTTAAAAGAAGTATTTCTTTTAAGTGTTCTCAAACACTACCAAAGCCCAATAGAACAGGTCAAAATAATAGGAATACATTCACCATCCTACTATTTGTATGCAACAGAAAATGAATATCAATGTAGCAAAATAAACAAAAATTAGCCAATGACTCCAATCCAATAAGAAAATTTATTTGCAAGATACAGGAGTAGAAGTGATCTTCAGAATTTAATTATGACGTCCAAAGATATAGTTTTTTTCAGTAATAATGCTTTTTGAGTAGAATTATGATGTCCAAAGATATAGTTTTTTCAGTAATAATGCTTTTTGAGTAGAATTATGGTGTCCAAATTCTAGGACCTAGGCAAGGCGCATACCCTAAAATGCGCCTCGCCTGTGCGCCTAGGCGTGCCTTTTAAATCACTGGTTTGTTGTGCTCTTTCCATATGCTCCAACAGACAGGTTTAAAGCCTCTCACTGGCCAGGATGCAATCAGCATGGACAGGTCTTTAGAAGTAACCCAACACCTTCCAAACAGAAAAATGAAGTGGACGCAGGCCGAAAGGACAAAGAATGAAGAGGCGTGTGTGTGTGTATAACAAATAGCTACATGAACTTGTTTCTTTAGTAGCATTCCTTTGTACTAATTCGTGATTTTAAATTTCTTATATTTTCTCATCATAACATTAACTAAATTTCTCATATGACTGCTCAGCATGGAAAGACATTGAAAGAACTTACTTGAATTTACGAAGGGGATAAGATACAGCCTAGGTAATGATTTTAGGGTGAGGTTTTGGAGGAACACTTGGTGCAGCAACCACCCTCTGATGGAGGAGTCCCTGTACTGTTCCTGGTAGCTAGAAACAGGAATTCTCTGGTTGCTAATTGCTTGGAGATTCATAGTGGACAGACTTATCAAACCCCAGACTGAGAAGAAAACTGAATATTGGGAAATAGACAGCATGACGGAGAGGATGAACTGTTAACCAACCAATGACAGCTCAGTGATACCAGAATATGAGAATGGGACAGCCTGGGGTCTTTTCCTCAAGATCCTTTTTCAGATGGGTCAATCATATAGCATTCAATGACTTCCCATGCTACAGAGTATGGGCCTCTCACACCCCCTCAAAGATTTCTTTCCTAGTATAGAGAACAGTCTAAGGAAAGTGCCTAACAAGAGATAGCCTAATCAGAAGAGGATTACAGATTGACAATGATCAGTCTGTGATGTGTGGGGTAGCAAGAGAGTTGGCAAACTACATGTTCATATTATTGCAAGGTGGCAGGATCATTATTCCAGCAGCGATCCTATGGAATATTTGAAGAGAAAGAAAATCACACAACTTAAATACAAAAAAGATTTCATTGGGGTTTCATACAGTTCACTATTGGTCTTTGAAAATATGTTCAGAGATCATAATAAATGGTACTGAGACTATTATTTCTACATCCCATTGTACACAACTTTTTGAATGCAGGTTCCATACTTTTTGTTAGTTGTTTCTTATAAATCAAATATTCTTTGCCTTTTTTCCAAAAAAAGATTCTTATAGTTCAATTATGTGTAATTTTTTTGATAAATAAAATAAGTCCGATTATATGTAATAGGTTGTTGTTTATGGAATATTTAAATTTTATAATTAAAAGTGATATTTTAGCCAAGGTTCAAAATATCGATACGCCGGTAGAGGCGTATCGGTTGTTTTATTAGTTTTTTCCAAATCCGGTTCAGAGGGGGCAGTTTAAGGTCCGTCCACCCCCTGAACCGGTCAAAACCCTGATACACCCTCTGTAGGGGCGTATCGGGAAGCTTCCAATACGATACGTATCAGCCGATACGTGTCGGTTTTTTTAACCTTGATTTTAGCATATCTTGGTATTTAAATTCATTATTTTTTATGGGCAATATTAAAAATTTATTAGCTTTCTGTTAGTATTTTTTCAAGAGAAGATAAATAAAAAAATGTAAATGTTGTACACGTCAACATGGTATCATGTCCGATAAGTTATAGGCTGTATTTTCAAAAAATCACTGCCTCACTAGTGCCTACATGGCACTTAGATACCCAACTAGGCATGTTCAGGCAATGCAATACGCTGTTGCCTACTCTAGAATTGCCTCCCAAATAAGTGATAATTGAGAAAGGAGATTAATAAAGATGTTGATAATATCATAACCAGATTAGGAAGCAGGATCATTAGCCTTAAATTTCAAAACCTTCTTTTGCTTGGGTCCTCATATCAGTAAATATTGTCTGATGCCCTTGCTAAGGGTTGAGTAAATCAACATTTTTTGTATAGGTGTGGACTGAACGGACAATTTTTATCACCAACATTAGAAATGATTCTTTATATGTGGAGATGGTGCATGCCGGAGGAAAGTAACAGTTGGGACTAGCTTTTACTTGTTCTTTTGACAAGGTTCAATTGAGTTATGGACTCGCCTTTTCTTTTACATCTTCTTTTATTCATTTTAATAAATCTCCTCTGATCGGTTATAAAAAAAAATCACATCAAAAGGAGCACCAAGCAATCCACTTAGAAATTCCATGGGTTCCCCTCCAAGTTACATCATGATCAATGATAAGCAGAAGTTATTAACTATTATACCCCAGAGATTATGAAGATTTTTCAAGTGGTTGTCTTCATCATTTTCCGAAGGGAAAAATTCAGGTCCATATATTCCTTATCCACCTCATCCTCATGTTGATAAATGCTTCATCAAATAGACTAAGGATCTGCACCTTCTTGCTGTAAACTACTTCTTTGTGCCAAAACCTAAACTCTTAAAACCATATTCAGAAAATCAACAAATTCCCTTGGCCATTGGTTTGATCTGAAATCAGGTATTTCACAGTAGGCATTGTCATCTAAACTTGTCCAAACTATATGGTATCGTCCATAAGAATCCTGTTCTGCCATTCCATTCTGTTACTGCCATATCCATTGTTAAATTAACCCCAAGTAGATGTCACCAGGCCTATTGAGAAACCAAATAAACCCATAAATGATAAATATGCACTTTTCCCCAACAGACTCATTTCATGGAGTACACTCTCAGGAGTCATAATCAACAAGTTAGAAGTCTAACTATTCATACTCCCAAATCATTAAACAACTAAGGTTGCATTTGGATAAGCTTCAAGGTTTGTGCTTTAAAATCCCAAAAGCACAAATCCCCAATTTTAGGCATTGTGCTTTGGGACTTAAAAGTATTTTGGCTTTGGACTATAATGTTTTTAAGATCAATTCTTATCAAACACTTTTGGTCCAATTTTGTCTTTCACAGCCTAAAGATCAAAAGCAAAAGCTTATCCAAATGGAGCCTAAATCTCTGCATAATGGACTGTACTTGCCTTGTTCCATCTTGGGCTCCATGCAAAAGTTCAACATGTTATGCTTTTCCAAAAATTTTCAGTTCCACCAATAGAATTGGCATGTTCACATATTTATAAGGGGCATGGACACACATATACACACAAACAAACAAAACAGGTGGGTGCAAAGATGACGATACAAAGAATGACATGTAGGACCCTTACAGTTAAAATACACATTACTCAATTCAAATACAATCAGAGATAAGAAACAGTTTTCTATTAGCAAAAATAAAGGGTTCAACACAAAACCACCTGACACCATTAAATGATTTTTTATTATCCACCTCCTGGAAATACTATGAACCGCTTTTCAGGTCCATAGTAACACCTTAATATCTTGAGTTCATTTTATGCAGTCTAACCAGGAGAGGTTTGTCTTATATGGTCCAAACATAAGACACCCTTCTTAATTTATTGAAACTTACAATTCTTAAAGATTGAAAATTAGTATGTCCTACATACCATATATAGAAAGGTTATAAAAAATAGTTATTAGTTAGAGGTACAAACAGGGCCATGTTGGCTTGGGTTGAGGTGAGATCATCAACCCAAGTCCAGGCTGATGTGTCAAAATCTCAACCTAACCTTCACCCACCCTGTTGACTTCTGACTGCAACTCAAAGTTCAGAACCCTAATCCATCCCAACTTTATATCAGATTGGCATTTTCTGACCTAACTCTAACCCAATTCAACCAAGCCAACCAAATTTTGGGGTTGGGTTGGGCTGGATTTAGGTTAGCCCAGCCCAAGTTGCACCCCCTATAAATAGTCAGTTGTCCCTCAACATAATGGAAAACAAGGAAGGAACTCGAGTAAATAAGCATATCACACATCTCTTTGTTTATCTAATTAGTGGCTACTGATTCTGCTCTTTCTTCATAGTTCAAACTCTAATTAGTGGCTACTGATTCTCACTCAAACTGCTTTTTTTGCACATAAATTTGATAGTCATGATGATTTTTCCCCACCAATTATCATGATTTTGATAGAATATGGGATTTCCTAATCTAATGAAGGCAAGAGCTGAACTATCATAATTTTGTACACCATACTGGATGTAAACAAGGCAACAGTGCAACACAAGGGTGACAAAAAATGGCATGAGTTGGAAACCCAATCTTGTCAAAGGAGTGGAAAATGCTTCCTTGCATTGTCTAACCATAACAGGAACCAACAACCTTAAAGGGGGCAAAAAATCCAACAAAACACTCCCTAGTATTTAATTTAAAAAGCTTTTGGCATGTCATTGAAACCGGTACATTCAACTCTATATATCCTTCAAGATGTGGCAGATACTGTCCACCCAACTCCAACCCACC